TGCTGGCTGCCACAAGAGAGAAGCCCCGAAGAAAAGATACAAGGAATCCCTGAAACAACATCTCAGCCTTGGCCATATTGATCAACATAACTGGTCTACTCTGGCCTCCAATCAGGAGACCTGGAGACACCCCATCTATAACGCTGCTGATGCCTTTGAGAACGCACGCAGGATCCCCCTTGAGGAGAAAAGGCAACGCAAAAAGAATTGTACCTTGCAGAATTTACCATCTAAGGAGTCTTTCTGTTGTGCCTTTTGCAAACGGACATGCCTGTCTCGTATTGGCCTTTTCAGCCACCAACTCACTTGCAACAAACGTGGGTAGAGCCCTTCCCAAATCTTTGTTCGCGAAGCCTAGCCATGCTTGATGATGATATATTGATAAGATAATTCTTGGCCAGTTCTAGCGGTCTGGTTGTGACTATTAAAACAGCCAGGATGGAATGAACTCTGTTTAGCTTCTAGAATTCATAAAAATCATTATACCCATCTCTGAGTTGCCTAATGCAGCTGTACAGAGCTCACTTCACCTGTCCAAGTATGTGAGGCACCCTGGGGTACCTGGACATTCTCAGCAGGCCACTAAATATGATGGAGAAAATACAAGAAAACCACACTTTTGTGAAGATGTAGTTGGATGCCAGGTGAGGCACTCCAGGACATCTCAAACTACTTGCCAGCCCCAATTCTGATTTTGTGATAAGGTAGACTTGAGGTTTCACTCCAAAGGAGTGAACAGATGTTGATTTGGTGACGGTGAGAGGGGATCACGTGCGAGTGTCCTCTGTGAGTGGCGGGGAGCAGAACTTGGGAAGTAGAGGGACAGTGCCAAGGGGTCCTCTGTCCAGTATGATTTATCTCCATCATAACAAGGAGAAAATGAACATTGTTGGAATTTCTTCTCACATCACTCGTGAGGTCAACTATTGTAGTTCCTCTCATGGAGCATTTGCTGAGCCCTGGCAAGAGGTAGTAGGATACATGGACATCAAGAGAAGCCATTGATCTCATGGTTTTATCTCACAGGGCAGAGAAGGAGGTGTTCAGGGTCTGATGGAACAGAGGATGGGGCCTGAAGTGCAACATTTAATGGTATATGTTTGAATCCAGAGCTGAACCAGACTGGGAAGGAAGGAGGGAGCTGTGAATTAGGATGGCTGGTGGTTCCTGAGCATGTCAGCAGTGTGTGTTACAGTCACAGAGTGCATTACAGTCACAGTGTGTGTTGCAGTCACAGTGTTACAGTCACAGGGTGTATAACTGAAACCTGTGCATCTGCCAGCATTTTGGAAGAGCAGGTTTGGAGAGGTGGGTCCATGGCATTTCCTTTCCCCCTGCCATGTCTACGGGATGCTGACAGAAAGCACCACCTTTGTCCTACCTGGGCACTGCTGTTTGACTTCTGTAAGGGAAGGTTGATACAGGAGAAGTCTGAGGCTTTCTGAGCTGTCTGTAATCAAAAGCTGTGAGTTTCTGCTGTAATGAGCCCCGGTGAGAACACTTTGTCCAAGCCCATCTTACACTGGGCGCCATTAAAGTTGCTCCAAGCAACTTTGTTTCTGCTTCTGCCTGTCATTTCCCCAAGGCACCTTGCCAGATTTTGCCACTGCTATAACTAACAGGGAGATGGTACCATGGTCCTCAGGGGCTCATTAAAATGTTGACAGCCATAATGTGCTTTGTGTTGTTCTTCTGCCCTCCCTGCAGAGCTGTGAGCATTGTGCAGTTAATTAGTGAGCTCCCAGATGTGTTTCAATGAATACCTACAGCACCATTTCCGTTTATCTTTTGTTTTAATTAGGTATGGCAGGAAGAATGGAAATGGAGCCATTTTGAAAGGAAATTAGTCCAGCTTATGCCCTGGAAGGAACCAGGCAGAGAGAGGAAAAGTATCTTTGTGATCAAGCAGAGTGTGACCTGAGGAGAGTCAGACTTGGATTCATGTGCTGGCAGTAAGACAATTCTTATTCCAGTCCCTTCTCCTGTTACTGCCACCCATAGTAATGCCAAAGGCTTTATTTGCAAAGCCTTTCTCTGCTCTAATTAGCACTACCCTTACCTACTGTACTAATTCTACACAGAAACAGGAGGAATAATTATTACCATTGCAAAAGGTTTTCAAGGCCTTTCCTAACGATTGAAAAAACCTTAATTAACAAAAAAACCTTAATTAACAAAAAAGTCATACCTTTTACTCTGATCCCCCTGAACTCCAGTTTCCTCAGGACATGAACCCTGAAAAGAGCTGGCTTAGGGGAGAGATGGACAGGTGACAGAAATTTTCAGGGACAATTAGACCAAGAAATATTTAAACAACAGAATGAACAGAAGTAAATTAAGAAAAACTGAATGCACATGTGGAAGGAAATGGCATTGGCTTGCAGATAATTTAGCAGATGAACAGGGCAGCTGGGTATCCACTTGCCTGGTTCAGGAATTACAGAGTGAATGAGATAGAGCTACAGAGAGGAGCATTCACTTGGGATGGCTTATTTTCTTTAAAGTAAACACCATTTTGCCACATTTCTCCAACATTTTCATGATGGGGATGTGGGAAGTTATAACACAGAAAGTTCGAATGTGAGCAACTTGAATACAGGGATGACTTTTTTTAAGAATTGTCAGAAAAATTTTTGGAACTGTTGATTTAAAATTCATATTGTTCCTCAGGGACAAGGGAGTGGAGCAGAGATGACAGATCTTTAAGGAAATATTCCACAGAGCACAAGTGCCAGTGATCCTCAGGAGCAAGAAATTGGGTAAGGAAAGCAAAGGGCCAGCATGGCTGAGTAGGGACCTGCTGGTCAAAAACGGGAAAGATGCAAAGGCACAGGAATGAAAAGAACAGGTGACCTGGGAAGAGTCTAGAGGTGAAGTTCAGTTGTGTAGGGATGGGGTGTGATAGTTTTCACCCTAGGCCTTCTGGAGACCAGCTTGTAACCAGGAAGGAACTAGGAAAGTGACGTGGGGTATAAATAAGGCGTAGATAAGAGAGCTCGCTCTCTTCTCTTCCAGCGAGGTTCGAGAACAGTGGGTCCCTGTCTTGGTCTTGCTTATCTGGAGATGAGGCCTGCAGTGACTGCTGTTGTCTGCCACATGTGAAGGGAGAGCGCTGGGCCACGTCCAGCCGTCCTGCTTTCTCTCAAGGGAAGTGGTGAGATTTTACCAGTTCTTTGTTTTGCTGGTTACTGGATTTTTGGATTGGGCATATTCCTTTTGTTTCTGTACCTTTTCGTCCTATTTTGTCCTTTTTCCCTTATCCCTTCCCCTCTTCCCTTTAGGAAGCTATTTAGGGTTTCTAGGATTATAGGTATATAGTAATTCTCACTGTATATATCTGTTTCATATGTAAAATATATATTTTTGCTATAGCTTTGGCTGTTTGGTTTTTTTCTCCCCTCTCTGGGAAGCAAGGCTCTGTTGTTGAGTGTTGGAGATTTGGTGGGAAGCCAGCTCCAAACTTGCACAACATTTTTGGTGGCAGCGGTGGGATATTTTGGTTAAGTTTGGCCTGTTCTGAAAACATTGTCCGGGAAGACAGCCAAGCTCGGTGCTATTTTGCAAAGAAAATCTATTGTTTTGGGAACAGGTCCAGGAACACCGCCAGAGTCTGGGAAAGCAACCAAGAAAACTTTGTTTATATAAACAAAGGGTTGTTTTAAGAACAAGAAGAAAGAATAACAACAACAATGGCCATTTCATTACTTTTTCTTGTAATTCTGGCCATCTTTATACCTGTTTTAGGCTACCCTATAGGGAGACGTCCAGACCTAGAGGATGGATGGAACAAATTGCTTCCATTCTTTAATTTCAACATCAAAGGCCTGGTAAAGGAGATCCCCATGGTTACAATTGGCTCCAATTATTATCTAAATTGGGTTGCAACAATACTGTTATTGATGAAGGTAATGGAAGTGCTACTTAAAATTGGAAGAATGGTGTTGTATTGCTTTCCCTGTTGTAGAAAAGATCGTACCTCAAAGGGACTCGCTGGAACTTTGGAAAGAGCTGCGGACAGGCCAGTCCTCGGGTGGCATGGAGCTTGGGTAGATTTCGGTAAATTAGTAGGCCGTGTGTCACCTCCCATTAATTGGGAGTTCACGCCAGAACAGATGTTTGATTCTGGTGAGATGGCCCACTGTTTAACAGAAGAGTGCTTTTCCTACAAGGATCCGAATATGCGATTCTCCGCTTTGTGCTGGGGCCTGGCTAATGCTTATCGAGCTGCCATAGACCACTTTCAAAAGGTTAAGGTCGACACAGAAACCCAAACCATGCCACCTGAAACCAGTGATGTCCCTATTAAGTCCACAGAAGCCAGGGTCCAAACACAACTTAAAGTCAATGCCATTTCTACTAAGTCTACTAGAACTGGGACTCAAGCAAAAAAACTGGAAAGTCATTGTTGCCCCTATTAAGAAGAAGAAGACGTGGGTAAGGGAGATCGTAGAACTTACAGACCCATCTCTGCAACCGGAACGCACAGAAGAAGAAGAAAGAGCAGAAGAACCTATCCAATCCACGCAGGAAGTAGCAGACAAAGGAGCAGCAGCAATGGAAGAAGGAGCAGCAGCAACGGGTGAAGGAGCGGCAGCAACAGGTGAAGGAGCGACAGCAATGGACAAAGAAGCGACTGTGAGAGAGGAAGAAGTGGCTGTGACTGAGGAAGGAGCAATTGCAGGAGAAGAAGCAGCTGCCAGAGAGGAAGAAACGGTTACAAGAGAAGGAGCGCACCCAAAAGAACTAGGGGCGTCCAAAGGAAAGTAGAGCAGTATCAAGAGAAAAGAAGGTAGGAGTACAAACGGCCCGTGGTATATTGTCACTTGATGATTTATATCCTGACTACACAATCAGTGTTACGAAAGATGCAAAGAAGGGGCCAAAGCATTCCCCTCAATCTGAGGGAGAATTATTCCTACCCCTCCAGACCCAACCTTCTCTTGGAGGCGTAGATGATTGGATGAGGCCCTTATCTCGGCACCCAAAAGACTACTCGCTACCTCCACCTGCTGGGTATCGCGAACAACATAGGAGTCCATCTCCCATGGCATCAACGACGTAGAAGTTCATCTCTGCGGCGTGAATGATGTAGGAGTCCATCTCCGACGCATGAACAGCGTAGAAGTCCATCTCTGCAGCGTGAGCGACGACGAAGACCATCTCCACACCTTGAACAACATAGAAGCTTATCCCCCCAGCACACCCAGTCCTCACCTCCACATGAGAGATACAGAGAGGAGGCGGGAGTGGTTCCACATAAGAGCGGAAGAGTAAAGAGGGAGGTGGAAAAGATTCTACATGGGAGAGATGGACAAGAAATAATGTGAGAAAGTGAAATTACACAATCACTGACCACCAGAGAGCTTTGAGATTTACGGAGAGGTTATATGCGCTTGCCTGGTGAACAAGTCCTCACCTGGCTGGTGCGATGCTGGGACAAGGGGGCTGATAGTCACGTGATTGAAGGTGACGAAACACGACAATTGGGATCCATTGCCTGAAACCCTGTGATAGAACAAGAAATGGGAAGGGAGAAAATGGTATCCAATCTTTGGCTCCGAATCCTCCAAGCTGTGAGGGCAAGATACCCATTTAAGGAGTCCCTGATGAGCCCTTCAAGAAGGTGGAGGACTGTGGAAGAAGGCATCCAGTACCTATGGGAATTGGCCATGCTGGAGATAGTCTACTCTGATTCAGACTATTATGACATCCAAGTTCCTGAGAATGTTCCCTGCACGCAACCAATGTGGAAAAAGGTAATTCAAGGTGCCCCTAAACCATATACCTACTGCTTGATAGCTGCATATCATCCAAAGATGGATGAACCAAGTGTGGACACCATGTGTGCTTGGATAAGGAGCATAGAGGAAAATCTGGAAGACTCTTTCAATCCCCTATACCGACACACCTATGATAGGGAAAGAATGGAGAGAGATTATGAATACTCCAGATATGAGGACGACCTTAGAGACAGAAATGGCAGAAGGTATAGAGATTACAGAGAAAGGCCAATGGGAAGATCACGGTGGGATCGACGAAGACAACCTCGACCTAGACCTTGATCCTGGTCTCGATCTCGCTCACGATCTCCATCATTCACATGTCAAAGGAAAGAAAACCCTAAGCATCAGTCATGTAACCAACTATGGGCATACCTTTGTAGCAAAGGAGAAAACATGAAGAAGTGGGATGGTGAACCCACTTCCAAGCTCAAAGCTAGAGTGAGAGAGCTGAAGCAAAAGGACACTGACAAGAAAGTTGCCTATGTAGTAGATGCAGACTTCTTAGGAAAGAAACTACGATCACCAAAACATAAGAAGATGGAGGTCCACTTTGACGATGACAAAAAGGCCTCCAAGAAGTTGAAGTCAAAGTCTGACGATGCATGCTCTGATCAAGACCAGTAGAGGGGCCCTGCCTTCTGCCAGGAGAAGGAAAGGGACCAAGAAGATAACCAGGTTTACTGGGCTGTGTGGATTCGATGGCCTGGCACATCGGATCCTCAGAGATACCAAGCCTTGATAGATACTGGAGCCCAGTGTACTTTAGTGCCTTCGAAGCATAAGAGTACCGAGACTGTTTTTATTTCTGGAGTGACAAGAGGGTCACAAGAGTTGTCAGTAGTAGAGGCGGGCATGAGCTTTACCAGAGACCAATGGGAAAAACATCCCATTGTGACGGGGCCAGAAGCCCCTTGCATTCTCGGCATGGACTACCTAAGAAGAGGATACTTCAAGGACCCAAAAGGGTACCAGTGGGCTTTTGGTGTAGCCAAGGTGATTGAAGAGGAGTCCAAGCAATTGTCTCCCCTTCCCGGCCTCTCAGAAGACCCTTCCATTGCAGGACTACTGCGAGTCAAAGATCAAGAAGTGCCAAAAGCTACGACAACTGTACACAGACGACAGTATCGGACAAACCGAGATGCTGTGATCCCTATTCACAAAATGATCCAAAAGTTGGAGAGCCAAGGTGTGGTCACCAGAACCCATTCATCCTTCAACAGCCCCATCTGGCTCGTATGTAAGTCCGATGGCGAATGGAGACTGACTGTGGATTATCGTGGCTTGAATGAAGTCACACCACCATTGAGTGCTGCTGTGCCAGACATGTTGGAGCTCCAGTACGAGCTGGAGTCCAAGACAGCAAAGTGGTACGTCACCATCGACATTGCCAATGCATTTTTCTCCATTCCCTCAGCGGCAGAGTGCAGGCCACAGTTTGCTTTCACCTGGAGGGGCATTCAATACACTTGGAATCAACTGCCCCAGGGGTGGAAACACAGTCCAACCATCTGTCATGGACTGATCCAGGTCACACTAGAGAAGGGTAAGGCTCCCGAACACATCCAGTACATCGATGACATCATTGTATGGGGGGATACAGCAGAAGAAGTTTTCAAAAAAGGACAGACGATCATCCAGATTCTCCTCGAGGCCGGTTTCGCTATCAAGAAGAGCAAAGTCAAGGGACCTGCCCGAGAGATCCAGTTCCTGGGGGTGAAATGGCAAATGGACCACACCAGATACCAACAGACATAATCAACAAGATTGTAGCAATTGCTCCACCGACAAACAAGAAAGAAACCCAAGCTTTTCTGGGAGCCATAGGCTTCTGGAGGCTGCACATCCCAGAGTACAGTCAGATTGTGAGCCCTCTTTACTTTGTGACCCGTAAAAAGAACAATTTCCAATGGGGTCCTGAGGAACAGCAAGCTTTCAGGCAGATCAAGCAAGAGATTGCACATACCGTGGCTCTTGGACCAGTCAGATTGGCGTCAGATGCAAAGAATGTACTCTACATTGCACCTGGAGATAAAGGTCCCTCCTTGAACCTCTGGCAAAAGGTGCCTGGCAAGACACGAGGGGCGACCACTGGGTTTCTGGAGCCGAAACTACAGAGGTTCTGAGGCCAATTCCACCCCTGTGGAGAAGGAAATCTTAGCAGCATATGAAGGTATACGAGCAGCTTCAGAGGTAATTGGTACTGAAGCACAGCTCTTCCTGGCACCCTGATTACCAGTGTTGAGTTGGATATTCAAAGGGAAGGTGCCCTCTATGCATCACGCCACCGATGCCACGTGGAGCAAGTGGACAGCTTTGAGTTCCGTAAACTGACTCGATTCGCCTTTACCTTCAGTGGCTTCCGCCACTCGTTGGGTGGGACTCCATACAGCTGCTTTCCACTTCTGCTCCTCCCTACAATACTGCAGGAGCCATCAGTGAAAAGGGCATAGTGTGTTTCTTCATCTGGTAGCTTATCATATGGCGGAGCTTCTTCAGCTCGACTCACTGGCTCTTCTTCTTCTTCTTCTGCCAGACTGAAGTTCCCACCTTCAGGCCAATTGGTTATGATTTCCAAAATGCCAGGGCGATTCAAGTTCCCAATTCAGGCATGTTGCATAATCAAAGCAATCCACTTGCTCCACGTGGCATCGGTGGAAGATCGGAAGAAGGCCGAGGAGTAGCTGGAACTGAACCTGGCAATAGACACAAAGAATAACAGGAATGGCTTCTGTGAGTATGTCAGCCAGAAAAGGAAGGTCAGAGGAGGTGTTACACATCTCCCCTCCCCCCAAAAAAAACGCTGGAAAACTGGTAACAACAGATGGGGAGAAGGCTCAGGTGCTCAACAACATTTTTACCCCAGTCTTCAATAGCAACTTCTCTTCCCACACCTCTTGAGTGGATGGACAGCAGGATGGGACTGGGGGAGCAAAGTCCTTCCTACTTGTCTAAGTTTAACAAGATTACAACTTAGAAATTAAGAAACTTCAGGTGGAAGTGCGGAAAAGGAAGAGAAACAGCTTTTTATTAATAAAATCTGAATAAACAACAAATGGTGCAATTAAAAACTTTCAGAAGAAACAAAACAAAGTCCCAATTCCCCAAGTGGGGTGGGGGGAAGAAACCCTTGGCAACCTGGGGAGTGGGGAGGAAGGCAGGATTGTTCCGGCAGTTCAAAAGCTGCTCGAAGCTATGGTGTGCTCACAGCTAGCAATGAAAAAAGTCCTTTTTCCCACAGGCAGTCTTGAAAGCAGAATACCTTGCTCTGAGATCGGTCGGTCTCTCTCTCTAGGTTGTTCTCTGTGAGGTGTCCCGTGGGGGAAAAAAAATTTCCTCTCAGGAAAAGAAAAAGAGGTGGCCGAAACCCGGCTCCTGCTCTGTCCGATCTGCGGACAAACCCCCCAGAAGTCCCCGAACAAACGAGTCCCAGCCATCCCTGTGGCAACCTCCATTTCCCGAGAGCGCTCCCCCTCCCCTGCTCCTGCACTGCCCAGCGTGTGCGGCGTCGTTCTGTCCCTCCTCCCCCCATCCCGGAAGAAACAGAGCAGGGGGGAGGGAGGGGGCCATTTGGGAAAAAATTCCAACATCTCTTTTCAAACCCATAACACTACTGTTATAAGTAAAATCGGCACTAGGCTCAAATATCGTAGTAAAAAGTTTTATTATAGATTTATATAAAAATCAAATAAGCAAAATACAGCGCTGGATGACTTAGTGAGCTTTCCTTGCTCATCTAAGGCACACTTCAATAATTTCCAGTCTGCCTTTTATAGGTTTTGAGCTGCTTATCTCCTTTAAAATCCCCTCCTTTGTTCATCAGGTTTATCTGCGCAGGCTCTGTTCCTGTTGCCAAGAAGCTTTACGCATGCGTATCTTGTTGCTAGGAGACAAGCTCGGCTCTGTTCACTTCAACCTTTTGATGTAGTCAGCTTTTTCTGCGCATGTGCTGTCTTGCCACTGGAAGAGAGTTCTGTTCTCTTTTTCAGTTCTTTTTCTTCTTACATAACATAACAAAATATCACTAATTATGGTAACATAACATTATGGTTTGTGTGATATATAAATAATTGTGATTCGTGAAGCAAATGGGTGACTACATTAAAAACAGACTAAATAGATTCTAAAACTTAACTACACCCCCACAATGAAACAAAACAGACCCTCCCAAGGTCAAAAGGCCTAAACCTTCTCACTATCCTAAGGATGAAATATAGTACAACTTTAAGTCTTTAGGCGCCTACTCGTCCAAGAGTACATGAATTAGGACTGGCTGCAGAGATAGCTCTTTTAACCTTAGCTGTAAATATAATAGAACTTTAAATCTTTAGGCGCCTGTTCATCTAAGAATACATGAACTATGACTAGTTGTAGAGATAACTCTCAGCTTCAGTTGTGAGGACACTTTCCCATTAAACATTTAACCAAAAACTCACAGAATATACAGGTATATGATACAATCAATATGCATGAGGTAGTCAAGACAAACACTAAATGAAATTATTACTTGAAACTTATAGAAAATTGGGACTTTGTTTATCGCAACTTGTAATTACAGTGTTGCAAATATAATTTGATAAGCAAATTATCTCTCCTTTGGTCTTTATTGGCTATCACACTACTGTAAGTAAAGACCAGGTTCATGACGACCCAAAACATCCTGTGATTCTATGATATATTATTTATTGCCGAAAGAATGGTAAGAACTCTTGTTAGCAATACAAAACAAAAACATAATCATAAGTAAAACAACAGACAGAAGTGAAAGAAGTAAATAGCAACATTTCTTACAGTTAAAATCTATGGATTGCAAAAAAAATTGTTTTGAGGGACCGAAGTACTATTTCCTTCTGAAGCTTAATGGGTCTTTCTTGTTTTTATTATTACTGTGTTCATAACATTTACTCTTTTGTATCAATATTTATTTCAGGGATAAGTAAAGTAGCTTTCTTCTTTGAGCCTTGCATGTTCTGACCTGTCTAGAAAAATGCACAAGACTCCAGTTCATGTTCTCAGCACTGACTTTTGAGAGAGCCTACATAGGCAGCTTGGACCTGAGGGTGGATTTTGAGTGAACTTAGTGGGTTTAGCTGAAATCCACCAAAAACCTTTCTTACCGTGTCTGCATAATACCGTGTCTGTTATAATTTCATTTTAGCTCAACATTTGCAAAGCTCTGCACCTGGGACAAAATCAACCCCCTTCAGGGGACAGGCTGGAGGCCTGGGGAATGAGTTACTGAACCTGCCTCAGTACTGTGAAAGTCAGGTGATGAAGGCAGACTGAATATTGCATACAGTAATTAGGAACTGT